GCCACCTGTAACTCCAGCTCCAGGAGATCATACAGCTGTGGCCTCTGACCTCCCTGGACACCTATATTCACATGTACATACCTATATTCAGACACACACACACACACACACACAAGATTATGTGTGTGTGTGTGTGTGTAAATTTATTATTTATTTACAAAAGTCCATTACAGTGCATAACAGATTCTTCATTCCAGCTATAGGTAGATGAATGGAAGAGGGTCTCTGTCATCTCAGGTACAAGGAACAGCTTACTTTTTGCCAGATTTCTTCCTGTCTTTTCTTTTTTTGTCTTCCTCTAACTCCTCCCAGATCCTCCCGACCCACCTAAATCCACACCTTTCTTTCTCTCATTAGAACATAAACAGGTATCTAAAATATAAGATAAAATAAAAACAAACAAACCAAAATAAGACAAAAAAAGAAAACGAGTCAAAGAAAAAGCTCAAGAAACACATGTAAATGCAAAAGCACACACATTCACATGCACAGAAATATCATAAAAACATGAAACTGCAAACTATATGACATATGCAATGGACATGTAAGCTTAAAAAGGAAGAAAGGGAAGGAGGGCCCTGACAAAGCTTTAGGAGACAAAGAACCTCCAAAAGTGCTATTGCGTTCATGTTGTGTTGGCCATCTGCTGCTGGGCATGGGGCCTGCCCTTAGACTCAGTGGTACCCCGTCAGAGAAAACTAATTTTTCCTAGGCTAGTGGCTCTTGATTGGAGGTAGCTCCTGGTTAGGATGGGTGTGTGTGTTCACTTCCCCTCTCAGTGCTAGGATTTCTTAATTCTACCTGTAACTGGTCCTTCCCCACAGCCTTGGCACCTTGAGTGTCTCCTGCTTCTTTTTGTTTCTGCTTGAAAACCTTGTCTTCTTCACCTGTCTCTTTGACCTGCTTCTTGGGCTGTTTCAGAATTGTTGTGTTTTTGCCACCTTCACAGCCCAACATGGCACCTGCAGCCTTTCTCCAGACCCTAATCCTAACCCTAATTTTTAAAGTATGTGTAGTGTTTCATAGCCAGTGTTTCGGCTGCTTCCGATCTGTCAGGCCTTTAGAAGCTTGGGAACCCACATGTAAAACACCATCAGCATCAACCGTGGCTTGCTGTCCTTGCTTTAGTTTTTTGTGCCTCTCTTGTCTAAGTACCTAACCTCTTTTTCCCTCACAGTACATAATACTAACATTATCTGTTACTCAATTGTTTCGCTTTGCATATGGCTTTAGAGGTCTTAGAAGCTATTTCTTTATTCCCATGGTGTCTGAGATAATAGGGACTCAGCAAATATATGTGGAATGGAACATACAGTATATTCTGATTACAGTTTCTCCCAACAAAATGTATCCCATGAAATGTGTGCTCAATGTCCTCATATGCATGTATGGTGTGGTGAATACTTGGTACATCCTGGGTGGAACTTGTGGTGGAGCTGTGGTACCATGTTGGTCATCAGGTAGGTTTTTGTACATCCCTCCAGGGCAGGAATTCAGACCTCTGCCTGAGGTCATCTTCCTTGGATCTCTCACTAATACAGTAAACGTCACTGGTTTCAGGGCATAGTAAAGCGGGAATAAAACTGCAAATGGAGTAAATAAGTTCTGTCACGATTTTAGTATTGCAGTAAGCCCCAGTAACACATTCTGATGTCTTTGAATGCTAGCAAATTCAGTTCATGAGTCCATTTTTTAGAAGCATTCAGCGGAACAACCTTCAGAGTTCTTTCAGCATCATAATTGTTTCTTTGAACATTAAAAAGAAAATCACCAAAAAAAAAATTCTCAGGACTGGGCATAGTGGCATATGCTTTTAATCCCAGCACTTGAGTGGCAGAGACAGGCAGATCTCTGTGAGTTCCAGGCCAACTTAGTCTACAGAGTGAGTTCCAGGACAGCCAGGACTACACAGAGAAACTGTATCTTGAAGAAACAAAAAACAAACAAACAAAAAACAAGCACAATACCAAGCCAATCTTGGTAGCACACAACTTTAATCTCAGAAAACAAAGGCAACCAGATCTCTAGGAATTCAAGGGTAGCCTAGTCTACATAGTGAGTTCCCAAATAGCCAGCAATATATTGTGAGACTATAAAAAAAAACAATAAACTAGATAGATGAAACTTGTGAAGGAAAAAAAACAGAATTGTGGGCTAGTGGAGAATAGGTTTGGAGGGAATAAAATAAAAAGCAATTAAATTGCTGGGTGTGGTGGCATTTAATCCCAGCACTCGGGAGGCAGAGGAAGGCAGATCTCTATGACTTCCAGGACAGCCTGGTCTACATAGCAAGTTCTAGGATAGCCAGGGCTACATGATGAGGCTCTATCTTAAAATGAAACCTTATTTATATTATGAGGCTTCAAAGAATTATAAAGAATTAAAGTTGCTGATGAAGTAATGAGGAAAAATCAGTAAACTAAGCATTTCTAGAATTTTTCTCTGCTATTTTTCATATTAGATATCTGTGTTGTCTTGAGAAAATCTTAAATTTGACCTCAGTTTTCTTTACAAAGTGATTTTATAAGTATCCCTGGGATACTTATACATGAACATGTATAGAGGGGGAGGTTAAGGGGAAAATAAATCTTATCCCCACAGGTAAGTGTGCCATTCTCTCAGATCATGCAAATTAAATGTTAGATACCTTGAAGAAGAGAAGCTTCGCCCGAGGAGACCTGTGAACAGTCTAAAATGGTGTTTCTCAACCTATGAGTCATGACCCCTTTGGGGTCAAACAACCCTTTCACAGGGGTCACATATCAATTATTTACTTTAAAGTTTGTAACTAGCAAAATTAAAGTTATGAAGTAGCAAGGGAATGATTTTATGATTGGGGTCAGCATAGCATGAGGAACTGTATTAAAGGGTTGCAGCATTGGGAAGGTTGAGAACCACTGCTCTCAAGCTTCCCGTTACTGGGGATTATAGAGGCAGTAATACCCTGAGTGACTGACACAGCAGTGCTCCTTAGAAGGGCCTCTGTCTTCTTCCCATAGGCCTGTGGAAACTTCTGAGACCTCAGAGTCTGAGTGGTGAGGGATCTGGTTAGAGTCAGATTTATGGTCAGTGTCATTTTTGTGGTGAGTTAAGTATTTTAGTACGCTAATTGGTGATGGCTTAATTAGACCCAAGTTTTTCCTCAGAATATCCTTCTACCTGTTTGTACTTGTATTGCTCATCTTGAGAGTATGTGGTTTTCATTTTAATGTAGTCTGTGAGTGCTGTGTGTATGCTCTTGAGTGTCTCCCTGCAGATACAGAAGTGTAGACCTACTGTGAGAACTCACAGTAACCAAGTACAGTCATGGAGCAGCCATGAATGCCTCTCACACCAGCTGATGAGACTGTTATTAGCTGTTGTTCCAAGCTTAGGACCGAATGTCTCAGCACCTCAAGGGCGGGCTCTCTGCTGTAGATCTCAGCCTCCTAGGTCCTTAACAATATGCCCAGCTGTCACTAGGCCCTGCTCACCATTCTATATCCACTCCCAGTCCGCCTGACAACTCACAGTGTCACACTGTCTGGAGACTCCTGTTGCCATGCTCACACTTCAGGACAGACTTCCCGGCGCTACTGAAACCAGCCTAGACGAGCCCCAGTTAATAGCATCCTCGTGAGCACTGTGACTTGAACTGCTCACCATCCCTGTGGGAGCCAGTCCAGAGACAAGTTGTCTCCCTGGACATTCTGGGCTTCTTCCCATTGCAGGCATCTGCCACTAGGAGCCCAGTAGGTGCCAAAACCAGCTCAGGAGAGTTCCGACTCCAGTCATGCCCACAAACTCACAATTCTACAGAGACACAAGGAGATTATAATGGAAAAAGGTGTCTAACTATCCTTCCCGTCTACAGAGAATAAACTCAGGAAACACTGAGTAATGTTGAGAGTGCTTTGGTACTGTGACACCGATTTTCTTTGATAGGCAATGTGAAATACTGTTTCTGTTCTGAGTGGTGCTGAGTGAAAATGCGACTGTTTACCTGCCTGTCACCAACTTCTCAGATGCCATTTCTAAAACTAAACACCATTCATTCAAAACTCTAATCAGTTGGGAAATTTGGCAAGCTCAGAGATGGATGGCCCTGGTCTTTCATGGAGAAAATGTCCAACTGACAGGAGGTCTGTATGCTCCGGTGACAGACGGCTCGCATTGTCCCTCAGCCAAAGTGAGTCCTTTGTACCTGCTGAGTCTGTCTGGAGTCATATTTCCTCCCAGGGACCATGAGCTGACCAGCCACCTTAGATACACCCCACATATCCTGTGACTTGCCTTGGATTTTTGGATTTGTATTGTCTTGGCTGAGGGAATTTTCCAGCCTCCTCCAGGGCCTTCTGTTCTTTGGAGTGAAAACCTTGCTGCTGCATACAGATTTAGACTCGGAGATGAGCAGCTTCCCTTCTGTTTTTGTGGGGTGCTGACTCATTTCCCCAGATACTCGTTCATATGCAGCCTGCTGGAATCCCTTGATCTCCCTTGCCAAGTGACAGGAAGGCGTTTTTGAAGTACTGGAGCCTTTTGCTGGGGTTTTATCCATCTGTCCTTGTTGGATATCTTGGCAAGAGAGTCCTTGCCAGCATTTGTGCAGAAGTCACCCCATTATTTCTCCTCCTGCATCTCAAGTGTAACCAGGTTAACAAATGACAGAAAATTAAATGCAGATGATTTGTATTAAAAAATCTGTTATAAAAAGAGGACTGCTCAGAATGAGATCATGCAGATGCATCTATTACCACACGCTTTCTAGGGCCTCAGACTATTAGTTCTGAGGCAGGGCAAGGCTGTCCTGCTTGGCTTTTGATGGTATTTCTGGTTTAAATTAGCAGAAGCTCACCAAAGCATAAAAGAAATTAGATCTTTAGGAGGGCCTGCCCCATAACCGCCTGTGTTTCGTGGCCCAACAGAGATGATGAATGCTGTGTGTTGGCTTTGGCCTGGGAGCTGATTGTTTGCCTGTGTTCTACTAGAACAGAAATGATTGACATGATTGTTAATTTCAGGAAAACTGTGATTTGGAGAAGATAAAACCTGAAGCCAGGCGATACTTGGAAAAGTCAATTAAAATGGGAAAAAGGAATGGACTCCATCTTTCAGAACAAATAAGAAATGTGAGTTTATGTTTCTTATCATTTATTAATAAATTTTGTTCTTTGATAATTTTACATATATGTAAGATGCATTTTAATTGCTCTCATGTACATGCACACTTGCTCTTACAGTCTTCTATCCTTATCATTTTCTTATTTGAGATAAAAATGCAACAGAACCAACAAAGAGTCAGAGATGAATAACCCTGATAAGAATCCATTTACAGTATGTTTGATATTAGGTTCTTTTACTTTTTTTAAGATTTATTTTATTTTTTAATTATGTGTATGTCAGTGGGTGCTAATACCCACAGGAGCCAGAAAAGAGCTTCCAGTGCCCTGGAGCTGCAATTACCATCACGGTTGTGAGCTGGCCAATGTGGGTGCCGGGAACTGAACGAGGGTCCTCTGCAAGAGCAGCAAATCTTCCCAGCCCCTGTTTCAACTCTTAAACTCCTGCTAACCTCATTAGTAACTGAACAACTTATAACTTAATTGTTCATCCTCTCACCCCTGTGTCCCTTTTTAAAAAATAGAATCTCACTATGTAGCCCTATTTGACCTGGAATTCGCTATGTAGACCAGGCTGACCTCACACTCAGATCCACCTGCCTCTGCCTTCAGAGTTCCAGGATTACAGATGTGTGTCACCTTACTTTTCCTTAATCCTCTCCATGTTTTATTTTATGTATATCAGGCTTATATCCTTGGCTGTGTTTTCTATTCTTAAAAAGTAAATTCCCTATTTCAGTAACTGACTGTATTTCTCCCTCTCTTGATCACACAGAGCTCATGTGCTTAAGAAAACCCATACTGATAGAGAGTTTAAAAGCCAGCACTTTAGAATAGGACATCCTGTGATTAATACACACCCCTTACATGAAGACAGATTAACCCCTGAAAAGCAATGTTGTAACACTTTCTTGCCTGGGTGACATTAAAACTTCCAGGTTCTGTGATAAACTCAGCTGCTTAATTAACCTCATTCTTTTTGGACAGGAAATCTCATTCATAACTTATATCCAGGTGATTCCTGTGGACTGCAGAACTGGAAATAAGTTTTACAGACATCCAAACCAAGTTTTACTTGGCGTCTGATGTCATCCTGCAAGATAGAATTGAAGGTGCCATGGAGATACCAGCATCTTTCTGCCACCTGAGTGTTCTTTGATCACTTTGTTTCCTGGTCATAATAGGGTGGCTTGTGTCACTCCCCTGACCCTTTGTTTTCCTGGTGAACCCATCATTCTCTTGGTTGCATGAAGATTGTAGTGATTAAGCTATGATTAATTGCAGCAAACAGAATCCCACTTAAGCAACTTAAGGAAGTTGGAGAGTTTTAGAGGTAGATGGCCAAATCTAAACCCTGATGTTGCAGACACACATAGAACTTTGCCTTTGGGTCTCAGTGTCTCACAGTAGGTGCTTTGCCAAAGTCCTTCTTTGACAACTACTTTGTATCAAGTAGATTTTGTTACCCAGCATTGTCAGAAGAATGAGATTATCTTATATTTTTTTTTCTTGTGATCTCTATCATCTCCTTGGATCTCCTACCCAGTACTTTTACAGAATTGTTAGAGTGCCAGGGGTGGGTTATTGGAATCAGTCATTACTGCAGGAAAATGGTATTGTGACCTGATTGGTATAGAGGCCACGGTCCTGGACTGTTCACTGTCAAGCTGTATTTGAACTATGTGGCTGCTCTAGAATGGGGAAATGGGGGAGCTTGGGGAGGCAACTGCTGTGTTCTAAGACAATGTTGAACAAAGTGTGTTTAGGCAGTAGTAGACCGACTGGCAGCAGCTTCTTTGCTGGGGCCATTTCTAAGAAAGGACTTTGAGAGAAGCCAGAATCCTGACTTCATGTATAATTGAAATGTTTTAGCTGATGTCGATGAAAATGAAAGGTGTTTTTCATTGTTCATGCCCTGTCTGTTTCCCTCCTTCCTTCCAGGAAATCAAATCAATGAAAAAAAGAATGAGTGAACTATGCATAGACTTCAACAAAAACCTCAACGAGGATGACACTTTCCTTGTGTTTTCCAAGGCTGAACTTGGTAAACGTTTGTTGTTTTGCTACATTAAGTCACATTACCTTGTAGGTTCCAACCTAAATTCAAATCCAAAGAATTCTTTTAAAAATTGTCTAGTATTAGGGCTGGAGACATGGTCAGTGGTTGAGAGCACTGGCTGCTCTTGCCAAGGGCCCAGGTTTGATGCCCAGCACCCATGTGGTTAATCTTGCTTGGCAACTTACACTGGTGTTTGGTTAGCAGCCTTCAGCCGTGACAGTTTTTCTGACGCTCCATGTCTCCCACACTGTAAACTAGTCTCTTTAGGGTCTTTTATTTTTTTGGCTTAATTTTACCTGTTAGAATACCATCTGCACAGGTGCCCTGAAATTTTTTCTTGTTTTGAATTGTCGTTTCCTGAGCCACCTGGTTCATCACTGCCTTCCCTGTTCCAGTACAATCCAAATACAGTTATACAGTTATCCTCTTCTTGGACTTCAGTCGCCACACCAGTGCCCATGCTGAGTAAGCCAGTCCAGTGTGTGTGGGAAATGGATGCCTGAGAAAATGACTTTTTGCAGGTGCTCTTCCTGATGACTTCATTGACAGTTTAGAAAAGACAGATGACGGCAAGTACAAGGTTACCTTAAAGTACCCCCACTATTTTCCTGTCATGAAGAAGTGTTGTGTCCCTGAAACAAGAAAGAAGATGGAAATGGCTTTTCATACAAGGTGCAGACAGGTACCATAAATGTCTTTATTTTGATCCTAACCAAAGACATTAAAAAAGGATGTACTTCGTTTGCCAGTGTCGAAGTCGGCTCATTAACTGATGTTCCTATTTGCATGCGCATTGCATTTACTAATCCCTTATACCTACAAGACTTTAGCCTTTTCATTTCTTCATTGTCAGTTTGCTTGATGTGTCTCAAGCTAGACTGTGCTACAAAAAATAGAATAGGTAAAGACAAACAGCTGTACTTACTTTCTGCATTTGAAATAAAGAGCTGATAAAGTATCTCTCACTCCTCAACAAGTAACTACTAAGGTAGATTCTGTAAATTACTATTTCTCAACCTGTTGGAAATAACGAAGACGTATAGGTCACACATCTTTTAAAAACTGTCTCAAAAACTAAAAAAAAGAAGACATACAGATGGTACCCATCAACTCTGGTCATAGCCATTAACTCAAACTATATATATCGTCATATTAGCTGCAAAGAACCTAAGAAATGTAGTCTTTGGTTGACAACTATCTGCTAGACATGGTGTTTTATTATGAGAGGAAGGAATTAAAACTGAATCAGCCGGGTGGTGATGGTGCACGCCTTTAATCCCAGCACTTGGGAGGCAGAGGCAGGTGGATTTCTGTGAGTTCGAGACGAGCCTGGTCTACAAGAGCTAGTTCCAGGATAGGCTCCAAAGCTGCACAGAGAAACCCTGCATCAAAAAACAAAGCAAAACAAAAAATTTAATCTGGATCAACTACCCGTAGTTCTGGCTATCCAAGTAACCATGAATGCTTTTCTTTCACAGACCATGTGTCAGGCCCCAGTCATTTGTTGTCTTGGTCCCAAACACCAAGATCTATGGCTTTCAAAGCCTTCCCCATTTGCTCTCACGATGTAGCAGCCTACAAAAGGAAGAACAAGTAATTGGCCCTCTCACCCCCAACCCACACCAAGTGCTGGAATAGGAACAGAATAATCACTCAGGAGCCAGCGAGCGAATTAAGGAAAAGGCCAGGCCAAGTCAGGGTTGGTAGTGCACACCCTTCATCCCAGCAGAAGCAGAAACTCTTTTGAGTTTGAGGCCAGCAAGCTCAAGCTCTGGGCCAGCCTAGGACACCTGATGATGAGACCTTGTCTCAAAAAGCAAAAGTAGGAGGAGGAACAGGAACATAGGAGACATATAGAAATTTTCAAAAATGATTTGGCAGGAAGTCTTTACCAATTGTATTCCATGCTCATTACGCTTGCCTATAGGGAGTTCTTTCTTGACTATTTTCTTACATGGCCATGTCTTAGGGGATTGCTGGATAGAGTCCTACTAGTGGCACTTTGAAATACAAAGGTTAGGTTAGGAACCAAATAGCCACAGTATTTTGCATGTCCTTGGTCATAAAACATCTTTAAAAACTTAGTATCTTGTACATTTGCTTCTAGACGGTTAAAATAACTACACCCAACTGCTTTTGGTCATAGTTCCTACCAAATCTTATTTACTGATTCATTCCTATGTTTGTTCATCTGCTTAAGACTCTGCTTTGGGGCCTTTTGGAAAAGGTAAGCTTTTGTAAGGAAGAAAAGAAGCAGTCAATGTTCTCAAACTAAGCTCTGTAGTTGAGTAACTATTCCCATGACACTAGGGATGCAGAGCTCCCGGCTTTCCAAAGGTCTGAATCCACAAGTCAAGTCTCCTTAGCCAAGCAGTGACCTTCTGTCTTCCGTCCTATAAACTGGCCAGTTCTTTGAGCTTGTCTCTTTCCTGTAAATTTTTCTAAAAGTAGCATGTAGTGACAAGCAGTATTAGTTTTCCCTGACAATTCTAACACCTAAGAACTAAGACCTAATAGCAACATGGCATATCTTCAAAGTTATGTCAAACAACAGCTGCGGCAAATTTCCCCCATATAATCATGTCGTGTACATCTAGTGAGTGTCACCAGCGTCCCAGCCTGCAGTGTCTCCCTCCCATCGCTTCCTGCTTCTGTACCTTTCTCACTTTTGCTACAGCAGCATTTTATTCTGATCATTCTCCATAGTACATCTTTACAAAACCAATCAGAAGCATAGTAAGTGAAGCTACAAAATAGATTTGAGGCTAGCCTGGCCTATAAAATGAGCATTTGTCTCAGAACTCAAAACAAGTCAGGATGGGTGATTCACATCTACAAACCAAGTATTCAGGAGGTCTGAGGCTACAGAGTGAGATCCTGTCTGAACACCCACACCCCCACACACACACACACAAGAAAGAAAGAAAATACAGGGTGGGGTAGCAGTTCAGTGGGTAAGGGCACTAGCCGTAACCCTGACAACCCACACAAAAAGCCAGCTGCAGTGGCATGCTTGTAATCCCAGCAGTCTTAAGGTGAGATAGGAGACTGAGGCAGGAGACCCTCCTGGAGGCTCACGGGCCTAGAGTACGCGGTGCAGCAATAAAAACAAGGGAGACCCTGCAAAGTAGAAAGCAGAAACCGAATCGGGAAAGTTGTCCTTACCCCACACACGTGCGGTAGGCACACGTCTCCCTGACCTTCCTCCACATACATGCAAGTAAGTTGTTTTAAAATATGTATATATGTGAAAGAAATTGGTCAGTAAATAATTTGCTGGCTTGATTGTTGGAACTAATAGTTTTTCCTTTGACATTTTGGGAATTACTTTTCCATGGCCAAAGAGATAGCTCAGTGGTTAAGAACACTTAAACATCAATAAATCCAGTTCCAGGGGAGCTGATAAACTGTTTGGATGCCTAGAGTAGCAGGCACACATGCAGTGCCCATATATATGTAGGCAAAACATTCATACACACACACAAAAAAATAAAACGAATTTAAAAAATGTAAGTAAAACGAATTACTTTTAGTGTTAAAAAATAAAATAACCTGCTTTGGTAGCACACACATACTACCGCAATGCCCAGGACACCAAGAAGAGGATTTCCATGATTCTTTTTTTGTTTGTTTGTTTTGTTTTGTCTTGTTTTGTTTTTCGAGACAGGGTTTCTCTGTATTGTTTTGGAGGCTATCGGTCCAGCCCAGCCTGGAACTCACAGAGATCCGCCTGCCTCTGCCTCCCGAGTGCTGGGATTAAAGGCGTGCACCACCACCGCCCAGCCCGATTTCCATGATTCTGAAGCCTTCCAGGGCCACATTGTGAGACCTTGTCTCAAAAATAAGCAAAATAAATAGGTATGTTCCTAAGTATACAGGTACCAAGTAGGAACTATGTTGGGAAAAAGCCTATGAAAACAATTTTAAATATATACCATGGTATGTTAATCTATTTGTGCTATTTAAACAAAATACTATAGGCTAGATAACTTATAAACGATAGAGATTCATTTTTCATGATTTTGGAGGCAGGAAATCCAACATGCTGTGTGCTCACAGGGAAGAAGGAAAAACCCTTTTTAACCACTGGGGACAGGGCAGAAAGTACCTAAACTGGTTTCTTCCTCTGCTCTTGTAAGCCTCTCATCAGTTCATGAGGATAGTGCTAAAGCATCTTAGGACCACAGCTGTACAGATTGATTCTCAACATATTTTAGGGGAACCTTTAGACAGTAGCATGTAAAATTAAGTTTATGTATGTTGTTCTGGGGCCATCACCAAACCATCCACAGAACATTTTCATGCTGTCTAACTGATGCTACATTCATAACAACTAACTCCCCATTTCCTGTTCTGCTCTGTGTCTGTAAACTTGCATTTATTTAGCATCTTATCATAAAGGTTTACCAAGATGGATTGTGTCAGAATGCCCTCCTTTTTTTTTTTTTTTGGTTTTTACGAGACAATTTCTCTGTATTGTTTTCAAGGCTGTTGGTCCAGCCCAGCCTTGAACTCACAGATACCTCCTGCCTCTGCCTCCCGAGTGCTGGGATTAAAGGCGTGCGCCACCACCGCCTGGCCAGAATGCTCTCCTTTTTAAGGATGAATTATATGTCTATCTGTGGACATACCACATTTTCTTGACCCATTCTTCTGTTGCTGGGCACTTGAGTTGCTTCCATGGTTTTACTATAGAATAATGTTTTTTTGAACATAGGTTCTATAGGTATCTATTGTGTCTCTGCTCTGGGTTCTTTCAAATATCTGCCCAGGAGTAGAGTTGGAATTATATGATAATTTTGTAGGGTTTTTGGTTTTGGTTTGGGGATTTTGTTTTGTTGATGCTGGTTCTCATAATAGCCCTTGACTGGCCTTAAACTCTTGATGTAACCTTGAACTTCCTGAGTTTCCTGCCTCCACCTCCCACATGCTGAGATTACAGACATGTACCCCCCTGCCTGGTTCATGTGGTGCTGGGGATGATGAACGTCAGGCAAACACTGTGCCCACTCGCATTCCCAGCCATCTGTGTGGAACTTTGGAAGAATCACCATGTCATTCTGTAGAGCCACTGAGCCACTTTACATTCTCATCAGCAAAACACAAGGGTACCAATTTCTCTCCATCCTTATCAGCACGATATTTTCCACGTGTGGATACAGAATAGCAAAAGAAATTGGTGTCAAGTTAAAGTGGTAAGTTTTATGCTGTGCATAAAATATTTGGTAGGCTCGTATAATTCAAAGTAAGTGAGAAATCACAGTAGTTCATGAAACATGTTTTTGCCCTAAGTTTACATTACCTCTGGATCTATGAAGAACTTACAGCTGTCTGTGAAGTACAAATGTTACAAATTATTTCAGGAATAACATGCCACGTTTTAAAATTATCTAGTGCTGAGTGGAAGCAGTGGCTAAGATGGTCTCAAACTATCTGACAGTTTCACAGCCTCACTAGCACAGTAACTGTTCTTATCCTGTTGATCGTTTTCTTCTGCTCTTGTTCTTGTTACTAGGAAAACACTGTAATTCTGCAACAGCTCCTCCCACTGCGAGCACAAGTGGCCAGACTTCTCGGCTATAACACCCATGCTGACTTTGTCCTTGAACTAAACACTGCAAAGAGCACGAGCCACGTGGCCGCCTTCTTAGGTGAGTCCTTTGTTTATATAGGGTCAGTCGCATGCTTTTTGTTTCCTTGCTCTATGACATCTCACTGCATAATAGCACCTAATGCCAGCCTCAGGTAGGCACCTAGGCTGCCTTCAAGAACATCCTAGTTTCAAGAAAAGGGTATTGATCACTCTTACCTTACATGACCTCAGTTCTTGGAGCTGCTGGGGTTATCTATCTCATATCTTGAAGGGACATTAACTCTACATTTTACACATGGTGGGTGTTGACTAGCAGACTTACCTCATTGCCTTTATTCACTGCTACTAGGTCTTATAACTACTGTGGCTACTGATAGATTTGTACGAAATGAACTGGAGATGGGGTATAAAATGAAAACAGAGCTTATATAAACAAAAAACTGGCACTTTACCCACCAAAGTCTACTTTTTAATATAAAAAGGTAATATAGAGTGCATAAAAAGTGTTACCTAATTGCTGTAGTCATATTCACTTTTATGTCCAGGCAGTGGGCAGACAGATGTCCTTGAATTCTAGGCCAGTCTCAGCTACATAGTGAGAATCTATTACAAAGAGAAAATAGTAACAACAAAGGTTTCTGGTCCAGAGAGATGGCTCAGTGAATACAATGCCTACTACATAAAAATGAGGGCTGGAAGGAAATCCCTACAACATGTAAAAGCCAGGCAAGCATGGTAGCTATCTATAAACCACACACTCAGCAGGCAGAGGCAGGGCATCTGTATGGCAAACAGGCTAGCCAGGCTAAACAGTTAACAAGCAAGGGTTCAGTTGAGAGACCCAGCTTCAATAAAGTGTAGAGTCAACTCTGGGCTTCCACACACATACCTATACACGTGTGAGCACATATGCATGCATAATATACACAACCTCCTGAGTACTGGGATTAAAAGCATATACTACCTGAACTGGTTTTTTGGAGCCCATTCCCTATAGTGGGATACCTTGCTCAGCCTTGATACACGAGAGAGGGGCTTCATTATGCCTTAACTTGGTATGCCAGACTTTGTTGACTCCCCAAGGAAGGACTTACTCCCTCTGAGGAGTGGATAGGGGGGCTGGGGGAAGGAGAAGAAACTGGGGTTGTTATATAAAATGAAAAATAATTTTTAAATAAGAAAAGTAGCATATGGTACTAATACAGACTTTAAAATTACTTTATTCTCCTTCAGCAAAATATCAAAAGTATTTACCTTTGATAGTCTTTTATTAATGTTAAGTTGGAACTGGTTTAATAAAATTAATTGAAACTGGTCATGGTGGTACACACCTGTAATCCAAGTAGTCAGGAAGCTGAGGCAGGAGGATGCCATGAATTTGAGGCCAACTTGGGTTACATAGCAAGTACCAAGTCAGAGAGTTACAGTGTGAGACCCTGTCTCAATAAACTACAGAATAAAAATAAAATGATAAAAGCAGGTTATAAATATCAGATCCAACTAATGGATTGTTCAGGTATGTTGAACAGTATGACTCCATTGGATGTGGGCCCTAAAACATATTGTACTTAACATTGTTATGTGTATTATGAGAAGTAAGTTAAATTGAATTAAAACTCTTAGTTTCTGTCTTTAGATTTTATATATGTGTGTATATATATATATATAATTTTGTTATATGAGACAAAAATTTTTCTTAAAAGAATAACTTTTGTTATTCTAGTAAATCTTACTATAATTATTTTTCATAAGTCCTATAAAAATTGTAGTTTCATATCTGTCAACCATAGTTGAGCCCCTTATCTCTGACATCCAATGTATTCCCTTGACTCTATGTCCAAAATCTCTACAAATTGCTCCATTTGTTTCCTTATTTATCTCCACGACCAAAGTTCAAGAAATCTTACATCAGATAACATCTTCAATAATATTTGGAACTATGCCTCAATCTTTTGGTGCCACTTCTTGGATTGTATTAAAAGTTATGAGGAGCCCTTTTGGAAGCCTGCCATGCTTCTGATTCTCAGCTTGTGTAATTCTTTCTTTCTTTCTCTGGTAAATAAATATATTGTATTCCCTAAAAAAGAAAGTTATGAAGGGCATCATGGGCAGCAAAATAAGTCTCTAATTTGTCCTTAATATTTTTTCTTAGTTACTGTCTCTTACTTTGTCTTTTTTCTCCATACTATATATATCAATTTATGAATACTTATGTTAGTAATTTTGAATATTGTTTTTATGGTATATACCATGATTTTGTCAATGCCTAAATCAAACCAAAATGCTGTTAAAGTATGGCATACCTTTAATTACAAAAAAAAAAAGAAATCAGCTTTTAGTCCAAATTTCACTCCACTATTTTTTACTAATAATCCTGTCATGGTTTACTTGTATATACACTAGAATCATATATAACCTATAAACAAGTCACCCCATCAGTGAGATCCTGTTATTCATTTGTGCATCTGTGAGACTTTGGAAATAACTACCGTGGGTTAGGAGTAGAGGAGTAGGAGACCTCGTGTTGAAAGGAAGGAGCATAGACAGGTCCTTTCCCAGGGTCTCCACATGGGGGAGGGAATAGAGGTGTGAACGGGTGTGAGATCTGAGCCGTGCTGTCAGGAGGATGGCTCAGCTACTTCTTCACAGCGTCATTTGGGCAGCCACCGCCATCTCACGCCTCTGGACCTCCTCTCACCCATGTCCAGTGTAGACCCAAGCACATCTGTATCTTAACATAGTTCACAAATTGTGAAAAGAAACACAAAAGGGCTTGTTCAGGCAATTTTTTAAATCAAATAATCAGAATTTGACTACAGTATATAAATTGTGATGACGAGCAATTTCTTCAGCTGACATCTAGAACTTCTATCTCCAAATCCTCTTCCTCCTCCATAAATCCCAGAAAGGGCCTGCGGAAGGCAGGCCAAACCCGTGGTCAACTGTGCAGAGCAATTTGTAGATGTTCCATGCAGGTCACAGTAGTTGTTGATTTAGGAACAGAGCCTTGCTGAGGAATAAACACACACACACAGGCTTAGTTTGCCATTGCTTTCTTTTGAACTGTGATATCCCTGGGTTAGCAATCTTGAGGTAAGCCTTGCCATTGTTGACTTTGGACGAAAACTGTGGGTGGGTTTTGGTGGCATGAAAGACCAGGGAGAAAGAGTTACCAATGAGATCACTCTGGAGAGACTGCTCTGCCCCATCCAGTCTCTCCCCCCCCCATGTCGTTTCCTCAGACAGACCATGCACAAAGCCAGCAGTCCTTGTGAATGCACTTGATTCCAAGGGCGCATCACTAATTTTACCATTTCCCTCACAGATGATTTAAGCCAGAAATTAAAACCCTTGGGTGAAGCAGAACGGGAGTTCATTTTGAACTTGAAGAAGAAGGAATGTGAAGAGCGAGGTTTTGAATATGATGGAAAAATCAATGCGTGGGACCTCCATTACTACATGATCCAGACCGAGGAGCTCAAGTACTCGGTGGACCAGGAGTTCCTCAAGGAGTACTTTCCCATCGAGGTGGTCACCGAAGGCTTGCTGAGCATCTACCAGGAGTTGCTGGGACTTTCATTTGAGCAAGTGGCAGATGCCCATGTTTGGAATAAGAGCGTCTCACTTTACACTGTGAAGGATAAGGCTACTGGAGAAGTGCTGGGACAGTTCTACCTGGACCTCTATCCAAGGTACTGGACGGCGCTCAGAATTGACCGGACTCCACCCTTCCACAGTCCTACACGTAATGCTTAGTACAGGGTTAAAACGTAGGCTTTGAAGCCAGAATGTCTGCTTCATCCCTTACTAGACAAGTTATTCAGTTTTTCTATGATGTTTCCTGAAATATGGGAACACTTGTAGTACCAGTTTTATAGATTACTGTAAAGATTAAATTGGATGATTGCATGTATAGCATTTAGAAGACTGCACAGCACACAGTTCTTTAAAAAATAAAACGTGTGTGTGTGCGTGCACACATGCCAGGCCAGAGAGGATATCTGAACCACCTCCCCAGACCAGATAATAAGTTTTGAAGAAGCATTAGCTACAACCACCATCATCACCTACTGCACTTACTTAATTTAAAATTTTCCCCAGAGTGTTTATTAGCTGGGTACTCTGCAAGTCCTCTGAAGTCTGACTGCCCTCCTCAGTCTTTCTGAGAGCAACACAGTGGAGTAGAAACGGCAGAATCCTTGTGCTGATCTAAGGAATCCACACACTTGACTGACACACCCTCCTCAACATGCTCATTCTTCAGGATCCTTAACAGGATTGTTTATGCAGTAAGCATTATACGTATACACTTCCAACCGTTTAGTCAGGAATAAAATTTCAAATACTATTCTTTGAAGCATGTAATTGTAAACTCCATACATTTCATCAGACAAAAAAGATTCAGATCTTTTTCTCTTTAGGCTACTTTCTAAAAAACACAACTTTTTGCAATAACTCGCCCATTTTACTAACTAGACCAAGAGGATTATTGCAGTCCCTCTTCAGCAAAGTGTGTAGGTAGATAATCCACTGGATCTGGATGCTCAGGAGGTTGAATTGTGAGCCATTTGGTGGCACAGGTGTCTTCAGCACCTGTGCTATCCCAAAGCTTTTAGAGAAAGCATCAGGAGGGCCAGCAATGGTGCTGTGGGTGAAGGGGCTTGCCACCAAGGTGACAGCATGAGTTGATTCCCAGAAGCCATAGTGGAAGGAGACAGCTGACTGTTGCCAGCTGCCCTCTGACCTCCACACACATCTGGAGCATGCACATAGACCTGCACATATATACACACATGCACAAGTGACAGATACTTGTGCATAAGAGGGTAATCTCTTGGTCCACAAGTGGGTATAAGTGCTTACACTCGGGTCTGACAACCTGACTTTGATCCCACAAGTTGGCAGGAGAGGGCTAACTCCTGAGAGAAGTCTGGCCTCCACACAGTAGCTATGGCATGTGCATGTGTTGTGTACACACACACACACACACACACCACAATAAGATTTGAAACAGAAAATCTTTAAACATTGCAGTATCCTGTGCCTGTCTCCAAACTCACTTCCCAGGAACAAAGTCCTCCCGTCCTGTGTTTCTGCCATGTACTTGCTTTATTTCATATTTAGAGACCTGGTCGTTGCTACTAGAAACTTTGTGGAGAACACAGAGTAATATTTTGTGAGAATAATGACCTAGCTCAAGATCATTTTCTGCCACAGCCTTTGCATTCAGGTAAAATATGAATGAACTGTTTTATTTGTCTGACTGAGGAACAATAATCAGAGCAGAATCTTTAAAGACTTGTGTTTTTCATTTTCTTAATCACATTTGATTTTTATTTATCAAATACTGAGATTCTCAAATACACAAAATCTTAGGATTTCAATATAAAACTGCCGGTAAGGACTTTCAGTCTTTATCACTCTATAAACAAAACATGAAGAGGCATAATCTCAGAATGAATGTAATTTTTAAATTAACTAAATTGACTTTTGCTTGTTTGTTGTGTTTTGTTTTGTTTGGGGGTTGTCTTAAGACAGGGTTTCTCTGTGTAGCGCTGGATGTCCTGAAACTAGCTATGTAGACCAGGCTGACCTCAAACTCAAAGACATCCTCCTGCCTCTGCCTCCTGAGTTCTGGGTTTAAAGCTGTATGGCAACATGCCCAGCCTCAATTTTATATTTACAAAGGAAAGAGCAAGGACTGGAAAGAACACCAGCTGCTCTCATAGAGGACCTGGGCTTAGTTCCCTCCCACTTGGCTGCTCACAGCCATCTATAACTTCAGTCCCAGGGACTCAACACCCTCTTCCTGTCCCGTGGGCACTGCATGCTTGTGGTACACAGACATACATCCCAGTAAACATGCATGAAATAAAAATAAATGAAATCTCAACAAAAAGAAAAGAACAGGGCTGAGAAGAGATGCTTGGTGTCAGGAGCACTTACCTCTCTTCCAGAGGACCAGAGTTCAGTTCCCAGCACCCACATCAGGCAGCTCACAACCAGGCCCTAGAGACTCAACACCTGGCCTCCTCAGTACCTGCTCACATGGCATGCACATACCCATAAGTAATAAAAGTAAGTTTAAAATAAACATGTAAAAAAGCAAAGAAGATTAAAGCCTGACTGGGAAATTAAAAGTTAGCAGAAAGTTTTCAATTTTAAGATAAAAACTTTTAAATTCTAAGATTTTTTAAGGGGGAAATATTTACCTGTTGCTTCTTCAATGCATTGATCATCACTTTAAACTCACATCACCTACACACAGTATATTATTGTATACCAAAGAATACACAAGATAACAGGTTATGTATACTCATGCTCCTCTGCTTACCTGCTTATACATTTCCAGTTCACTCCAAGGGGGCTTCCCAGGACTACTGATGGGCTCCTTAAATACCCAGAGTGCAAAAATTACAGTTGTGATTGACCATGTTCCCAAGAGTCTGTCACATAGTTTCCAACTCTGCCAAAATTATCCACCTAAATGTACCTAACTAACATTAAAACCTTTTGGGTTTTTAGTCTTGTTATTTTATCATTTCAAATGTACTCATAGCTATGGTGTGTGAATATGGGTCTCTTGTTGCTTTGCATGTGAATAGGACAGTGAAGACTAAAGTTAATAATTTTATACCTAAAATTGGCCTCACATTTACTTTTGCTAGACTTTTCATATGGGGTGTTGGTTCATTTAGTAGTCAGGTAGGTTCCAGAGTCAACCTCCACGTGCTGCACTTCCCCTTGGTTCAGTTTGTGTTTAGAATTGATTTGCCCAAGTTTTTCTTGACTTTCTTCCACGTCTCACCACGTCTCTGTGTTCCTCCTCAAAGCCGGTCTCCACGCAAGCTCTCTAAAAGCAGTGGGCTGCCATGGCTTGTCACTGGCTGCTTACTAGCCTGGTGAACGGTGGAAGCTCTATTGCTATGATCCACCATCAGTCTCTCCTTTGTTTCTTGTTTTTCTTCATCTTCTGTTCCTGAGACAGAGTGTCACTAAATACCCCAGACTGAACTCAAACTCATGATCCTTCTGTGTTAGCTGTGTGTGCCACCACCACACCTGGCCATCATCAGCCTTAGTTAGAGTAGCCTGGGTCCTGTGTTTTAGGAGTGGGGCCTGGTCAATGGTCCCACCTCATCTACAACTGTAAGTCCAAGCATGTGGGGTATTTCTGACCCATTGAGGCTTTCTTCTGTTCTCTTCCCCAATAGCTTTGGGTTGGCACTGCTGTTCTAACAGCAGGGTCTCTTCCTTCCTGGGCATACTAAGACCCTTGGTCTGTGGGAGACAAATGAAAAATCACCTAAGTGATGCTCCACACCCTTCCCTGACTGATGCTGTCTCAAGAGTGCATGCCCATCCCCCCCTTTCTATGGAGGCCTGATGCTGCAGATGATGCTGCATTTCCCTACGTGCAGCCCCGCTGTTCCGTATTGTCTGCTCCAGTGTGTCTGACGTTATGTCCAGTGTTGGCCCTAACTTAAGGTGTGGGGGTTAAGGGAGTGCTTCTGTCCGCTGTCCTTGGAGATACCTGTGCTAGATTGTGGGCTTGTCCACTGCCTTTCCACAGCAGTTCTCTGGTAGGTTCAGAAAAGCTGGGGTTTGTAGAACTTCAGGATGGAGTCAAGACAGGAGCAAGTCCCTGCCCAATTTTATGCATCCAAATAATGGCCAAAATTACTTCCTTTCTTTGAAAGGTATTGGTGGAGGGTAGGGGAGGGTACAGAGGACCAAGAAAAAATATATGCCAATTTAAAGGTTAAGGTAAAACAAACAAAAACCTAGAAGGCTGGGTCACTTTAAGTTTACTTTTTCCATAGGGTGAAGTGACCTGTTTTTTAAAAGGTGAACCAAACATGTGAAAGCCTCTTCTGGTGTCGATCGAGTGTGACGTAATGCCTGCAAGAGGCCATGACATGTTTCTGCTAAAGAAGAGTGTCCATTTCACTGTCCTTTGTTTCTGTCTCCCAGGGAAGGGAAATACAACCATGCAGCCTGCTTTGGTCTCCAGCCGGGCTGCCTTCTCCCTGATGGCAGCCGGATGATGTCTGTGGCCGCCCTGGTGGTCAACTTCTCCCAGCCCGTAGCAGGCAGGCCCTCTCTCCTGAGACACGATGAGGTGCGGACTTTTTTCCATGAGTTTGGTCACGTCATGCATCAGGTTTGTGCACAGGTGAGCAGTTTTCACGGCAAACCACCAGCCGCTTCTGGATGTTTCTCGCATTTCGGCTGCTGTCAGGCTTCTCTCTTCGCCTGGTTTTTTCACACTCTGAACATGCGGTAACCTGCAGAGACACAGCTTTCTCTTCACGTCCTCTCACTGCGTTTTCGCTTGAAGGTTGTTCATTGATGAGAGACTGTAGACTGTGTGCTTGTGGAGACTCAGTGCCTTCTGGCCACCTCCAACCTTTAGTCCTTTGCTACTGCTGGTTGGGGCTACCTCCCTTTTCAAGCCTCAAATTCAAGTCACAAGTAGTACAGGCATGCAGAGCTGCGTATGGTGGGATGCTAATTGTAACCCAACACTTGGGAAAGAGGTAGGAAGATCAGGAGCTCAAGACCAGCCTTGTCTATATAACAAGTTCAAGGCTACCCTAGCCTACATGAGAGCCTATTGCAAAAAATAAATGACTGTGTAGAGAATTTTTCCAGGACACAGATATGTGCAGTAGATGGAAATGAAAAGTGATTTTTGTTGTATGTGTGTTTATGTGTGTACAGATGCATGTGTGTGGAGGCCAGAGGTCAACATGTAATGTTCTTCAGGAGCTGTCCACCTTGTTTTTGGAAGACAGTCTCTCACTGAGACCTGGGACTCACTGGCTAGGTTAGGCAGGCCAGCCAGCAACCCCCAAGGATCCACCTGCAAGCAGGCACGACTGCCACTGTTTTTAAAGTAGATTCTGGAGTTTGAGCTAAAGTCCTCACCCTTACCTAGGCAGTGCTTTACCAACGAGCTGTCTGTCCTCCCAGGCCACAAAAGTGATCTTTGGCTTTTTTGTTTTGGTTTGGTTTGGTTTGGTTTGGTTTTTCGAGACAGGGTTTCCCTGTGTAGCATTGTAGACCAGGCTGGCCTCAAACTCACAGAGATCCACCTGCCTCTGCCTCCCAAGCTGGGATTGAAGGTGAGTGCCACCACTTCCCAGCAATACTTTTTTTTAAATTTCAGCCAAGCATCACACACACATATTCAACAATAATAGATAAATTATTTAAAACTAGTTCTTTCATCATATTATCTACTTATGCTGGTGCCTCCGTATATTCTTTCGAAAGAAAGGAGGGAGGGGCCGCATGTAGTGGTCACACCTATGTCCCCAGCATGCAGGTAGCTGAAGCAGGAGGATTATCAAGAGTTCACAGTAGGTAGCCGGGCGTTGGTGGCGCACGCCTTTAATCCCAGCACTCGGGAGGCAGAGGCAGGTGGATCTCTGTGAGTTCGAGACCAGCCTGGACTACCGAGCGAGTTCCAGGACAGCCTCCAAAGCCACAGAGAAACCCTGTCTCGAAAAACCAAAAAAAAAAAAAAAAAAAAAGAGTTCACAGTAGGTATATTTTCTTACATGCTCATGACCTTGGGTTCAATTCCCAAAATATACATGCATGCATGTGCATGCACACACACACACACACACACACACACACACACACACACAGAATATTTTGTTAGTTTAAATAAACAGAGGGAGCCAGGCGGTGGTGGTGCACACCTTTAAACCCAGTACGTGAGAGGCAGAGGCAGGCAGATCTCTGTGAGTTCGAGGCCAGCCTGTTCTGCAGAGTGAGTTCTAGGACAGCCTCCAAAGCTACGGAGAGAAACCCTGTCTCAAAAAAACCAAATAATAATTAACAATATTAAAATAAACAGAGGGGTATACACACGGACTTTGGACTCCCATCCAACAATGTGAGGTGCACTCTCACCCTGAACTCTTGGGGGAGGGTCTAGGCCCTGCCCTATATGAAATGACAGACTATGGACACCCACATGGAGGGCCTCACCCTCCCTGGGGGAATGAGGGGATAACGGTGGGGGGGGGGGTTGGGAGGAGGGCACGGGAGTAGGGGAGGGAAAGGGAGAGGGACCTGGAACTGACTTGTGAAGCAACCTTGTTTCTTATCTAAATTTAAACTGAAAAATAAATAAAAGATAAAATAAATAAAATAAACAGAGGGAAAAACAACAGAAATCTGTCCAGATGTGTAACGCCAGTTGCAGCCCAAACAGTCTCAAATTTCTTAGGTGATCGCAGAGTCTGTTCTCCCACATGGGTATTTGCCAATATTGAACTTCTGTCAGTGTACAGTGTTCTTCCTGTACCCTTATGCGCTCTTGAGTTATGATAGCTCTGCTTTCCATTTCCTAAGAGTACTTGTTAGATCAGCCAAGTTCTAGGTGTGTATCTGAATGTAGGTAAGCAAGACTCTGCCTTTTGGGTAGTTGGTCTTTTTTTCATTCATTCTCTTTAGTTTTTTATGCGTATGATGTTTTGCCTGCCTGCCTGCCTGTCTGTCTGTCTGTCTGTATGTATGTATGTATGTATGTATGTATGTATGTATGTATGTATCCCATGTGCATACAATGCCCATGGAAGCCAGAAAAGGTCATCAGATCCCCTGGGACTGGAGTTGCCATATGGGTGCTGGAAATCGAACCCAGGTGCTTTGGACAAGCAGTCAGTGGTTTTAACCACCAAGCCATCTTTCCAGCCTTATTTATTTATTTAGAGTGATTTGAAAAGTAACAGCATTCGTCTTTTCTAAATATTTGAAGTATTTGCCATGCTGGAGAAACAGACTCCAGAAAAAATGTCCTTAGAATCACACTCTGAAAATTGTAAGATGGATTCCAGAAACTCACAGGAGCGCCCACACACACACGCACACACGCACACACACACACACACACACACACACACACTCTGGAGGCCAAAGGATGATGAACCACACGATTCCTAAAGCAGCAGCTTACTGCTCCGTGTTGACTATCTGGCAACTTTACAAAGAAGTCATTCAGTCCCTTAATCACATTTATTAAAACGATGGCCTTCCAGTGGTTTCATTGTTCCTGGTGCAGATTCTTGAGGCAGAGTCCTCATGCTCACCCTGCATTCTTCATACAGGTCCCACAACTCTGTGTTTTTCATCGTATTTAGCGTTACTTTTGATCCTTTGAGGCATTGGAAAATACTTTCTTGATGTTCTGTGACTTTTGAAAACTGATACATAATGGAATTACATATGTTTCATATTACATCTGCAATTTTCCACCTATTCTATTTTTAATCTGCTCTAGTTTTTTTTATATGTGTGGGTATTTGACTACATATATGTCTGTCTACCACTCATGTGCCTGGTGCCTAAGGAGACCAGAAGAGGGTGTTGGAAGCCCTGGAACTTGACTTACAGATGGTTGTAAGCCACTACTTTGGGGCTGGCAATTAAACCTGGGTCCTCTGGAAAGAAACACAGTGGTCTTAACCAACATGTCATCTCTCCATGCATACTGCTTCTCTCTGGAAGAACTGAGTTCCCCTCAGTTCTTAGACCTTTGCTAACCATCCATGGACAGAATTGTCCTTTTGGTGAGTAGTGTGTTGATACTGTCCTTTGCTTGGTCATCTCTTCTTTTTTTTTTTTTTTTTTTTTTTTTTTGGTTTTTCAAGACAGGGTTTCTCTGTGGCTTTGGAGGCTGTCCTGGAACTAGCTCTTGTAGACCAGGCTGGCCTCGAACTCACAGAGATCCGCCTGCCTCTGCCTCCCAAGTGCTGGGATTAAAGGTGTGCGCCACCAACGCCCGGTTGGTCATCTCTTCTTGAGGTTACCTTTGAGAAATGTGTTTGTCTACTCTTATCATTTTAGATGACATGCAGCATTTTAGAATGTTGGAGTACTGAGATTTTCATGCTTAGAACCAGTGGCCAATACTTTTCACCTTTCATACACACGGGTCTATGTATTTGCTGCTTTCAAGTTTAGAAACCTTTTATACTGATCTCCAACAGATGGTGGTTGAATAAGATTCATGACTTCTGTGTTCACTTCTCAATTTTCCATTCATGTGCTGTAGATTGGTTTTAAGATATGACACCTCATTGTTTGGGTTCTGCACTGTGACATCCTGGAGATGGATTGACCAGTGGAACTTGTCGTGGTGATATTTAAATGTATGTGCAGGAACTTCCAGTTTTCAGGCATGTGGACGCCCTAGTTCCCTGTTACCATGTTGTCACTAGGGACTTGAGTTTCACCATGTTTTCTTGTGTTTACACTGACGGGTCAGTAATTTGGAAGATAGCATCAGGAGAGGCATCGCCAGTATCTGTTCCTGTTTCACAGTTTGGACTCTCTGTAAGCCCTGGCCCTTTTGAACTTCTGCAGATTTTATTCATGCTGATGTCTTTGTTGGTTGCACGGTACACGCGGTAACAAGTTTTGAACTGTAAGGAGATACTTATTTTAAGGAAACATCAGAATCATAATAAAACCTTCATTAAAAGTGAAAGGTATATCCAAAAGTGAAAGGGTCAGACAAATTTCAAATGATCTGACCTGAGATAGTCTGTAAACTAACATCATTAGTCTTTTCTAAGTATTTGAAGTGCATATCACTGTAGAGAAACAGATTCTGTCAGGGGGACATTGGATTGAAATATAGAGGACTAGGTTCAATCCCATGCACCCCATCAAAAAAAGAAAAGAAAAAAGAAATATGTGATTCACCCTTTTCAGACCCACTCATTCATTCATAAAATGGAGACAAGCCTGGCATAGTGGTTCATGCCTTTAATCCCAACACTCAGTAGGCAGAGGCAGACAAATCTCTTTGCTTTCAAGAACAGCTTTCTGTACATTGTGAGTTCCAGTACAGCCAAAGCTAATGGTAGAACCCTGTTTCAAAAAAAAAAAACAAAAAGAAAATGGAGACAATTAGCAATTCTCTTAATTATGTCTCTGGCATGGTGGGAAATTAAATATGTTAAAAAGCACATAAAAAAACTAAGGATCATATGGGTATTAATAATTTATTTTTATTTCTTTTTCATTTGGGGAGGTTTCGAAACAGGACTGGCCTTGAATTCATGGAGATGCACATGCCTCTGCCTCCTGATTGCTGGGATTAAAGGTGTATGCAACCACTGCCTGGCTAGTATTGTATTTTTCAGTAAAATA